CCTGAGCGGGACCTCGCCGTCCCTGGGGGGCTGCGATCTGCGAATCTGTCGCCACTTTTCGAGGGCTGCTGGTGGGTCCTGCGGAGCTAGGCACCGCGCGGATCTGAGCGGGACCTCGCCGTCCCTGGGGGGCTGCGATCTGCGAAACTGTCGCCACTTTCGAGGGCTGCTGGTGGGTCCAGCGGAGCGAGGCACCAGGCAGATCTGAGCGGGACATCGCAATCCTTGGGGGGCTGCGAGCCTCACGAATGCCGCTCGCAGAAGTATATGCGCCCATGTCACGTCATCACCTCCGTATGACGACTCCCAATCTGCTCATGCCCCGCATTGCGCAGGGGTTGGGTACGTCGCCAGGGTAATTATCACGCAGGCTTCGGAGGACTATTCGGGCCATCTTGGGATCATGTTGTAACCTTTTGGGCGTCCTCTTGGGGCCCACTCGGCGCGAGTCGGCCGCTATCGTTATAGATCTGAGGTGGAAACGGCAGGAAACGGAGGACGATGAGAGGGGAATGAGGAGGGCGAAGAGGAGGGTGAGAAGGTGGTCGGAGAAAGAGTAAAAAACAGGGGGGCACACAATAATGTGAGAGTTGCAAATTGGAAGCAACGTGGATGCATGTGCGGATCGCTTGAGCCATATTGGAGGCAGTATTGGGTTCTCCGGGGCCGTTTACAAAAAAAATGTCATCTTGGACGTTTCACCTATTTCGGACCTCCCGCTCTTAACCCGTCTGGGGGGAGGCTAGGGGAGGTGTGGGTCCATCCCCGAAGGGGAAGAATGGGGGTTGGCCTTCGAGATGGCGTTCGAGTGACGTTACCAAATCCACAGATCTTTTTGTGACCTGTGTACACAGTTCTTCTTTTGATGTGTGTACAAGCGCGTGGCCCTGGTCCGAATGCGCAGATTGTCTTATGGTCTGTGTACACATCTCATCCCTTGAGCAGTGTAAATCCATCGTCGTCCTCTCCCGTCGCGGTCACGTGTGGGGAACTTGCGGAATCCCCTCGGCTAGTCCAGGTGCGCGCGTTTGACTTTTTCGAAATACACAGATCTACTTGTGATCTGTGTACACAGTTCCTCCTTCGATCGTGAAGCGCGTCGCCCTGGACCGAATACACAGATTTCTTCTGATCTGTGTGCACATTTCTTCCTGCGATCTGTGTAAATCCATCGTCGTCCCTTCCCGTCGTGGTCACAGGGGGGGGAACTTTCGGAATCCTCTCGGCTGGCCCAGGGGGGGGGGGCGTTCGAACGCGGCGGAATACACACTTCGTTGCTCTTGCGAGGGTTTCCCGGAGGGCGTGGTGCCAGTGGGTAGGCGGGGCGGAGTTCGGGCGCCAGCAAATTGGCGGGGGAGAGGGGACAGGATGGGGGAAAGGCGAAGGGGCAGGGAAGCTGCGGGAGGCGCCCAGCGTTCAAGATGGCCCAAGAGTGCATCAAGAGGGCCCAGCAATTCCCACGACTGCACCAAGATGATTTCGTGAACCCCGGAAAAAAGTTCTCCCACAAAGGCCCCAATCGGGCCCTGAGGTGGACTCATGAGGCCGCGAAGATGCTTCAAAAGTAAGGTGCGCAACTGTACATCTGTTTGAGTCGTCCTCCTTCTCGCCCCTGTCGGAGTCGTCGTCGTCGTTCTCGCCGCGTGCTCCCCTACCTCCTCGCTCTCCTCCTCTTCTGTCTGCGTCAAAGCGGGCGCGGGCCAAAACGCGTCCATCAAGATGATTATTTCCTATCGTGACACAACTTGGGGATGGCATGTCGCTCAATAGCGTCATCCTGCGACTGTTTTTCTGGTTCTCCTACTCAGCGAGCGCATCCGGGTTGTGCAGCGCGCGCGGTGACAGTGGGTTTGTGCACCGAATGGTTGGCGGCAGTTGTGCGCGGTTGCGCTCAGCGGCGCGCGCGCCCATCTTCCGCGGGCGTGCGCGCCGGCACCCAGGTCAAGTTCGATCCGTATTTGAACCAATCTTGGGGCATCTATGGCCCTCTTGAGGCGACCTTGGGCCATCTGAAACGCCTGGCGCCCCCCCCGACCCCTGGGGTGGTGGAGGGAAGGGCCGCGCCTTCCGGCAGCGAAGAGCGGGGTTGGAAGAGCAAGCGCTTTAGACCACGTCCGCCCAGAGGGCTGGTCGGAGTAGGGGCCAGTCGGCTGCAACAGGAGGGCGTGGGCGCCCCCGACCAGGGCGTCGCCGCGCGCGAGGGCGCCCCGCGAGTGCGCGCGCGGCGGCGTCGGGGTCGGACGGGGACAAGGGGGAAGAAGAGAAAGAGACAAAAGGGGGGAGGAAAGAGGGGAGGCGACGGGGTGCAGATCGAGGAGGAGGGAAAGGGAGGAGGGGGGGAAGGTGGGAGGGGATGAAGGAGGGGGCGCGCGTGCGCAATGGCACGTGGTTTCTACGGCGCGCGTGGCGGTCCAGGGTTGTGCGCCGTGTGTGTCGGCACTTGCGTTTGGCGGCATTCGGCGCCACGTTCCCGTCGTCGATGGGCGCGCGCGGCGGCGCCTGTGTCGGGCCGGGGCGGGGAGGATGAGTGAGCGGAAAAGTGATGGGGGAAAAGCGGGCGAGGAGGGCAAACAGGAAAAGTAGGAGGACGACGACGGCGTTGGAATGGCGGTGCGCGTCCAAATCAAAGGCCGAAGTCCACGACGTTCGTTGGCGTCGCGTTGGCGCCGCGCCCTGTTTCCAGACCCCAGATGCACACAGATGGGCTGAATATGTGTTTTCTTATTCGCCCCGTGACCCCCCCTCTAGTAACAGACCCACGGTGGATCCCAACCCCTGCGTGATTTTTCGTTTCTCTTCTTTCCCACCGCTGGCGCACATGCTGCCTTGGGTTGCCATGCTGGCCGCTACGTTGCACTGCGCTTCTCCCCAACGTGGTCGGCGCGCCTCTTCCACACCCCGGACGGGATCAACCGTTAGGCGGTCTCTAAACAGTCCGTCCTCTGTTCGCAGTCTGGTTGGGGTCTTCCCCTTCCGGTGCCGGCCTTTCTCTTGACCGCCTCATCCACAATGTTGGGTGTATTTCGCGTGGACGCGCCCCGCGTAAACTACCTCGCGATTGGTGTCGCTAGCCGGAGGGAGACGTGCGCGTTTGCCTCACACCGCCTGGATTTTCGTATTGGGTCGCTCGCCACTGAACGCATTTGCGTGTGTGTGTGTGTGTGTGTTTGTGTGTGTGTGTCTGGTGTGTGTGTGTGTGTGTGGATGTGTGTGTGTGTGTGTTGTGTGGGTGCCTTCTCCGCGGCCCGCCCGCCTGCCCGCTTTTGGTGTCTTGATTCGCCATTCTCTCCATTGGCTCCTTTTTTCGATCCATGGTCGCCTTGCACGCGTGTAGGAGGAGGAGTATCGGCTGACCAATGACGCCGCTTCACAAGGATGCTGGTGATGTGTTTACTAACATCGATTCGTGACATGGCCCGCCGATTGGTCCCTTTGGCGCGTCGGAAGAACAGCGCGCGGGCATCTTCTCAATGGTTCGCGTGCTTTGCATGCTCTCAAGTCGGCCGGGTTTCTCCTATCCGCGCGCCGCTCTATATGCAGCTCGGGATTTCGTTCTATCCTCAAGGCAGGATGCCATCAACGTGTTATTTTCCCGTGCGTAGTCCATCGCGACTCTACGTCGCCTGCGGGGGGGGGGAAAGTGTGCGTCTGCGCGTGAATCCAGCGGTGCGGACATCGTGTGCCTGGTGAGAACAGCGCAGGACTTTGGAGCCCTGTCAAGAGCAACACCTACCACACTGTCTAGTCGCACGCTTCCGATGGCCAAACACATGGGGTCTAAACGCTGGAGCTTGCGCAGCCAGTACCCGGCGAACAAGTTCGGAGCATGGTCGCATTATTGAAACGGCACCGTTGAACTTTGCTTCGTGAATGTCCGGCCAACTGCAAGCCTGCGATTTGAGACGAATGGCAATGGTCGCGTTGAAGCAATTTGTTCGCCCTGAGATGGGGAGGAATGGCTATTATATGTGTGTATATATGTGCATGTAAAGATACGCTTCCCGACGGACTCGTACCAGAGTTTCTCCACGTCGCCCCTCTCAGCTTGTCGCTGCCTTAGCCAGTCATCCAGACGCAGTTTGCCGTCCCCCATACGATCATGTCTCCTCTGGTGCCTCGGGTGCGCTCTGGCCGCATACGCACTCCGCGCACAGACTGAGCTGTCAGCTATTGGCCGAGCTCCTCAGGATAGCGTGCGGGAGCATTGCCCATCATCGTGGTCGCTCCCGTTTGCTCGAGAGCGCTCTTGACGAGCAGACGGAGTTTGGCCTCCCCAGCGCCAGCACAATCGTGTCTTCCAAGTTGTCGAAGTACCTAGCGGCCAACGGCCCATCCTGCCACCGCGCCTGGGTTGTAGGTCAGAGGCATACGGGATGTTTGTGGGGATCTCTTGGGGGGGCCTCTCGGAAGCCTTTAGGATTCGGTTTTGGGGTGTCTTGGGTGCCTCTCGGGGGTACCTTTCGGGGCCTTATTTGGACCTTTGGGGAGCCTCCTATTCAGAGTTGTCGGAGAACATCTCGATCCTGGAGACTTCCCACGGCTCGTTCTCAGTGAGCTCTCTGCCGAGCGTTTCCAACGGTTCGTCTGTCACATGAAGTAGGAGGGTTTTGGCAATAGGTAGCACGTAGACGGTAAAGTTATTGGCCGTGCTTCAATGACATTGATGCAGCGTGCCCGCGCGCGGAACATTGGTAATTCCAAGGAGTGACGAGTTGACCGCGTCCGAATTACAAGCACAAGCAGCCAGTCAAGGGTTGTTGCGGGGTCCGAGTGTTGTTATGACTCACGGAGGCACCTCGGACGTAGATTGATTTGAACCATTTCGCCGTCATACGCGCGACATACCGTTGCGATGCGTGCCAGCCAAGCGTTCCCGTCACAAGGGGGCTCTCAGTTCGACGGGTCTGCGTACATTGATCTCTCGTTCATGGTGCCAGCGTGTTTTTCACTGCCCCCTCCTCGACCTCCCTTCTGCCTTTCCTGTCTCCCCTTCCAACGTCATGCCTCCCTCGCCCACTTCCAACCATGCTCCTTTCCTGACGAATTTCTCGCCGTCCTCCTCTCCCCCTCCCTTCCTCTTGCTCAAGGCTGCTCATCTTCAGACGACAATGACGACGGCGATTTCCACAAAGCCGACGCAGAGGAGGGCCTCCAGTCGCAGGTCGAAGCTCAGCGCTGTCTCGAGCGACCGCCACGTGCGCCCTGGCGTGGGGGAGCCCGCGGGTCACTCCCGGGCAGCCCCCACCCTATTCTTCCTGCTCCTCCTTGTCCTCCCCGTCCCCGTCCCGCGCCTCGCCAGCGCGCGACAGGCGCGCAACCCCTCGGCCCTATGAAGCAGCGATGCCCATGGCGAAAGAGCGACTCCTCCTCAGCAAATTCTCCTTGTGCAGGGAGGGGGGCTCAGGATGATACGGAGGCAGTGGCCAGTCGGCGCCTGGCTTTCTCCGTCGTCGGTTGCTCTGTGTGTATGTCTGTGTGTTCGTGCGTTTGTGTCTGCCCTTGTGCTTGTGTGGTTGTGTGTGTCTGTCTGTGTGTACATGATTTATTCGAGCTCATGCAAATTCTATTATTCCAGTCGAGTACGTGACGTTCGCATGCGCTCGCGCCGCACGTGTCGGCACACCCCTCACACGTTTCGTGGCTTCCTAGGGACCTCCACTGACGTTCGCATGCGTCGGCGCCGCACATTTCGGCACACCCCTTACACGGTTCGTGGCTCCATAAGATGGTTCCACGGAAGTTTCCAGTAGCGACGTTCGCATGTGTCCGCGCCGCACATTCCGTTGCATTTTCTCACCGTTCGTGGCCCCAGAGGGAGTTACACTTGGGGCCCCAGTGGCAACGTTCGCATGCGTCCGCGCCATCCATTCCAGCACACCACTCACACGTGGCCCCATAGACAGCTCCACCGATGGCCCCAGCGGCGACGTTCGCAAGCGTTTGCGCCGTACATGTCGGCGCACTTCTCACACAGTTCGAGGTCCCATAGAAAACTCCACCGAAGGCCCTGGGGGCGATGTTTGCATGCGTTCGCCACAGCTCGAACGGTTCGTGGCCCCATGGGGAGCCCACCGAAGGCCCCAGTGACTTCCACCGTTTTGTTGCCCTGTAGGAGGCTTCACCGAACGCCAGGATAACTCCTCGTCTCTCCACCCCTCCACACTCGTCCCTCCTTCTCCTGCCCCTGATCCAACTCGTCGTTTCCAGTCCCGGCCCTCAGATGCGTGCCTCGAGCATGCCGCCGATATTCTTACTTAATGCGTCGCCTCGGGGCTCGACGAAGGACCGTCGAGCGCCAGGGTCACGAGAACAGGACATGTGCGCAACTTCCGTCCGTCGTCGTCGAAACCGGATCGGATTTAGTTTGGGCGCTTCACTGCGTTCTTCTGTGGGGTGATTGGGGAAGGAGGGGTTGAACCATCAACGCAGAGGAGCAGACGCCCCAGGAGCGCCTTTTCCTAACCAACCCAAATCTTCAGAACGCCTCCCCCCTCCTGACTTGTCATTCTCCCTCTCCTCCCAGTTCATCCCTCCTGGGTCGGGGGAGGGGGAGGACACCCGCCGCCAGGCGCACTCTGGGCGGAAGGCCATGGACTTCTGGCACGAAGGAAGGGGGTTGCGCTGCAGCAGTTGCTGGAGCAGGAGGACGAGGAAGACCAGGATGAAGGGTAGGACGACGAGGACGATGAGAGTAGGAGGCGGGCGAGGGTGAGGGCGAGGGCAGAAGGAGGCGAGTAGGAGGGGCAGGACGAGGACGAGGAAGGCGACATGGGTAATGAGGAGGAGGAGGAGGAAGAGGACAATGGGGGATGACGAGAAAGGGGAAGGAAGAGGAGGAGGAGGAGGAGGAGGAGGAGGAGGAGGAGGAGGAGGACCAGTGCAAACCCAAGACTCGTCGACGGTACTGCAATCAACCCTCCCTCCAAGTTTCCTTTCTTTACGCCCCTACAAGGATTCATTTTCACTGAGGCAAGTGCCCCGTTGGAAGACAACAGCTTGGAAATCGGAAACTGTGCCAGAACACCATTCAACGCTGAGAATTACTGTGACTGTCGCATCCTGACGATCCTCAGTTGTGCCGGAACACCATCCTGGGACTTGAACACCGCGAATCAACGTGATTGTTGCTCCCTGACGTCTTGACATCGAGCCAGATCACGAATCCTGGGACGTTAACCATGAGATTTGTTTGAAACTGCTGAAAATTCTTGAAACGACTGTGCGCGGAGTTGGGGCGAGAGCCACATTTCGAAAGCGTGCCGCCCTCCATCCGTGGAGCTCGAGCTATTTGTCAAGACGAATATTCGCGCCGCTAAGGCGAGAGCCACATTTGAACACATGCCGCCCTCCATCTGTGAAGTTCTTCCAGTTTGTTTAAGGCGAGTGTGCGCGGCGCTGAGGCGAGAGCAATACTTTGAAAGCGGGACGCATTCCATTCTAATATCTTGCAATGTTGTTGGACGAATGTGTGCGGCGCTAAGTCTAGAACCACATTTTGAAAAGGAGCTGGCATCCATTCGTGACACTCTTGCAAACTTGTCAAACGAATGTGCGCTGCGCTGAAGCGAGAGCCACATTTTGAAAGCGGACCGCCCTCCATCCGTGAAATTGGTGCAAATTCCGGCTCACATTTTCGACCGGCCTCGGGGTGCGACAGGGAGGAGTTGTCAATAAGGAAGAGGGATGGAGGAGGAGGAGGAGGAGGAGGAGGAGGACGACGACGACGACGGCGACGAGGACGGGGAGGACGGCGACGAGAAAGGGGACAGAGGAGGACGAGGAGAAGCAGCAGGGAGACGGGGGGGAGGACGGCCCAGCACTTCTTCGGCGGTTCAGTGCAGGAGGATACGAGACAATAACACCTTGCAGGAGCGAGGGGGAGATCTCCCACATCCCCGAGAGTACTGAGGTCTGAATGTCGAGGTTTTTACCGCGTGCAGAGGCGGCCCTCAAGGGATGGGCGGGTGGGGGGCGGGGCGCAGGAGGAAGGAGGGAAGAGGATGGCTTCGGGGTTTCCTGGTGGTTTTCGGAAGGTGTTCGAAGGCGCTCGGAGCCGTTTAGGAGGGGGGGTGTTGTTGCGTCATGTTTCTAGAGATGTATTGAGGAGGGAGGGAGTAGGGAGGATGAGGTGGAGGAGGAGGCAGAGCAGGAGTAGCGAGGGATGATGAGAGACATGGTTTCCACATCCCCTCCGCTTCCCAGGACAGGTGGAACTGATAGGAGCCCGTTTCTTTATTGTTTGGGACATGACGGGCGTCATGGCCCCCGCGCCCCCCCCTATGACGTAACGCTCCCCCCCCAGTACGCTCCGGGCATTGCCGCCGTGCGTTTTGGGATCCGCGTAGGTGTCCGCGTAGGAATCCGCAGTGGAGTCTGGTCCGCAGTCGTCGTCGTCGTCGTCGTCGTCGTCGTCGTCGTCGTCGTCGTCGTCGTCGTCGCTCGCAACACAGCACCAGTGTACACCACAATGCCTGCGTGCATTGCAGTGCCTGTGTACACCACGGCGCCAATGTGCACCACAGCAGCCGTGTGCGACACAGCACCACTGTTGTAAGTAGAATGTTTTAACGAATCTCTACGACAAAATGGTGCGCTTGTGGATTCCACAGAAAACAATAGAAACTTACCCTTTTGGACAACGGAGCGCCGCTGGAATGTACGAGTCCTCCCAAGTCCGCCCGCATCACCCTAACTCCTCACATCTGAGTCCAGGAGGCTCGAGGTAAATTGGCCGTCCGAGAAGCAAGTAGACCGATTCAGTTGACCATTTTGCGGTGCGCGCTGAGATGTGCACGTGCGCTGTAGCGCCAACCCGCACGACAAGGGGTAAGGAGGAGGAAGTGGTGGTGGAGGTGGAGGAGGAGGGAGGAGGGAAAATCGGCGCATTCGATTATCCGCATTTTCCGGGCGTGGCGTCTAGTTGTCCGCAGCAGATCCACACGTACATGCTCCTGTTTGTTCTATGCACGCAGGCAAAGTGGTGTACACCAGCGCTGTTGCACGCGGATGCTGTGGTGTAGACGCGCGCTGTGGCGTGCACAGGCGCTGCGGTACACAATTGTGGTGTACACAGGCGCTGCGTTGCACATGGTAGCTGCAGTGTGCACATGTACACCGGCACTGTAGTGTACGCAAGCACTGTGGTTTACACAGGCGCTGCGTTGCACACGGTTGTTAAGGTGTACGCAGGCGCTGTGGTATACACGCGCGCTGTGGTGCACGCGGGCGCTGTGGTGTACACAGGCGTAGTGGGGCATATCGCCACTTACATGTTGTTCGCGTCGTCGTCGTCGTTGTCGTTGTCGTCGTCGTCGCTCGTCGCTCGTCATTCGTCGCGTCGCGCGTGCGGGCGTGGCTGCGGCGCCGGAGCCACACGGCGAGAGGGCCTTACGTCATACCCCCCCCCGCTCCCCCCATAACGCCCGTCATCGCCGAACATAATGAAACGCGCTCTTGAGGATACGAAGCAGAGGGAGAGGTGGGAGCGGGGGGGGGAGGAGGAACTCGAGGAGGGACGAAGGGGAGGGAGGGAGAGAGGGCGCGCAGCCCCCCCATTCCACGCGCCCCTGTCTTGCACACCCCCGTACGGAGGCTGCGCTGGCCCCGCGACAGCGCGGGGCACCGAAAAACGCCCGCTCCCGATGGCTTGGGGCCTGTTCTTTCGAAGCGCTGAGCGCAAGGCTCGAACAGGGATGCGTAGAGTTTCAGCGGTGTTTTTTTGCGGGGAGGGGTCCCAGGCGTCGGGGAACGCTCCGGGAAAAAACCTCTCGCGGCCGTCTGTGGCATCTTGGGGCGTGGAGCGACGCGGGATGATCAGAACATGGAGCGACCAAATATGGAAGCGAACGACGTACACTTTTTTTACCAGCGCGCACGAGCCCAGCGGCAAGGTGAGGCCACCAGGTGAGGGACGACCGAGGGGGGAAGGGGGAGGGAGGAAGGGCGAAAGCACAGCGGCCGCGCCGCCCCCCAGCTTGAGGCTCAGTCTGGAGAGCCCGGCCGCGCCTGCAGCCAGGCGCGCAGCGCCGCCCGTCAGTCGGCCTCCCGGCCGCCGGCGCGCGCCTCTGGCACCAGCAGCACCACCATAGCCGCCCGCGGCGGCAGCGCTGGGGCCCACCCGCCGCATGGCCTGCCGGCGAGCACCAGTCAGCTCGGCGCCCAGTAGCCGCAGCGCAAGCACTCCACCCACGCGGGGCCCTGCGCCGCCACGTGCGGCTGCCAGGCGGCCCCAGCGCGGGGGCGCGCGGGAGGTGCCACGGCTGGTGGCCGCCCTGCCAGCAGCGCCGCGGCGACGGCGACCGCCGCCGCGTCCCCCTCCCGCGGCGCCCGCCTG